CAGCCTCTGTCCCCCAAGGAGGGGAAACAGGTGCATTGGTCAGAGTTCTCCAGAGAAATATGTATACATATGTGTGTATATATATATATATATATAAAAATATCATAGTAATATAGCAATCAATATAGCTATATAATAGAGTATAAATATTAATATAAATATGTTAATATCTATTAATACATTAATATATAGACTAATAGTAATATATAATCTATTAATATCATAGTATATATTATATTATATATTATGTATTGTATATTATATGTAATAACAGTACATAATAGATAACATAAATTATATATTACATATAATACATAATAAACCATATATTTATATATTACATTATATTAATTATATAGTATTAATATATTATGAAATATTAATTATATAATTATTAATATATAATAGATCTTTGATAGATTTATTTCAGGTAATTGGCTTATGGACTTGTGACGACTGGCAAACCCGAAATCCACAGGGCAGGCCATCATGTTGGAAACTTTTGAGAAGAAGTATGGGGTCCCTGGGTGGCTCAGTGGGTTAAAGCCTCTGCCTTCAGCTCAGGTCATGATCTCAGGGTCCTGGGATGGAGTCCCGCATCGGGCTCCCTGCTCAGTGGGGAGCCTGCTTCCTCCTCTCTCTCTCTCTGCCTGGCTGCTTGTGATCTCTCTCTGTCAAATAAATACATTTAAAAAAAAATCTTAAAAAAACAAAAAGAAAGTTTTGAGAACTAAAGCTGCAGTCCTGAGGCAGAATTTCTTCTTCGTCAGGGAAGCCTCAATTTTGTTCTTAAGGCCTTCCAGCTGATTAGGTTAGGCTCACTCAGATTATTGAAAATAATCTCCTTCGCTTACAGTGTACTGATTGTAGATGTTAATCACATCTACAAAATACCTTCCCAGCAACTCCTAGATTAGTGCTGATTGAATAACTGGGGATTGGGGCACCTGGGTGGCTCGGCTGGTTAAGCATCTGCCTCTGGATCAGGTCGTGATCCCCCTCTCAACGGGGAGACTGCTTCTCTCTATCTCTTTCCCTCCCCTTGCTTTCTCTCTCTCTCTCTCACTAACAAATAAAATTTTTAAAAAAATGAATAGCTGGGGATTATCACCTAGTCAAGGTGACTCATAAAACTCAGCATCTCACAAGGAATGCTAATTTACTGATAGGGCCGTTCTACCGCAGATGAAGACAGCTTGCCATGTGCGGGTAGAGCTACTTGGTAGTAGAGAACTTCTGCAGGTAGGTCCTGCTCACCACTGTGGGCATTTCAAGCTGGTCAGGAGCTGGGAGAAAATATGTGCTTACATTTGTAAACTTTTAGCCAAAAGGTAGTATATTTTTCCTCACTTGGAAGATGGCAGGAAAACTCGAAGAGCTTGGTCGTTGTAGAAGATAGGGAAATGGTTTGTCATAATGTGGCTTCTATGTGATGATTGAACACAAAATGTCACATGACCTGGGTTTGCTTCACAGCTGCTTCCTTTCATTGACCCTGACATCTTGGCCCTTGGAGTAGTAGAATCCCAAGACCCCCACTCTGCAGGGTCATCCCCCCCAAACCCCACCACCCCACACACACCACAGAGTCTTCCACCCCTTTCTCAGAGACCAGCCCATGAATAGCTCTACCTCATTGCTCTTCCTCACGGTCCAGTCATCCCTGGCTCAGTGGTGAGGCTGGAGGCAAAGTCACTGGCACAGAAGGAAGAAAGGTATCCCTCTCTTGCAAAGCCTTTGAAACAGCTACAGGACCATCATCTTTGCCGAAGCTTCTGGCAAAGCCTTTAGAATTTTTTTCCTGCTGGTTGTGCCTATCCTTGAGACCAGGCACAGATGTTGACTTCCTCAACTGCTGAGGGCAATGTGTGCTCTTGGAGACTCTGAAGACTGATCTTTCAGACTGTGTTTGGGGTCAAGGGGATGTTCAAATGGAGAGGAACTTGTATTAGTTACATGATGGAGCCCGTCATAACATTCACCACTCTGGGAGCCACTAGCTGTAAAGAGGTTTCTGAAGAGGGAGGCAGGGGACTGTGGCCTTACAGTGTGCCTCATGTCTCCCCTCTTGACCCATCCTGGCTTCCAAAGGGCAAAAATGGACTCATTGGTTTGACAACAGTAGAGGGAATCTGGATAATTCAAGAAGCAGCTTTGGCTCCACGCAAACAGAAAGGAAAAGTCTCCCTGAGCTGGTTTCCTGGAAGTATGGGGGGCAACTCATCGATGTTCTCTTCAGAATTCCCACCATCTTCTTCTGAACAAAGTGACACAGGTTCAAAGCCCTGTAAGGCTCATCTCCTGCCCTGGAGGGCTGGGAACCAAAGCTGCCTTGGGAGCAGATTCTGTCTCCCATCCATCTCCAGTTTCTGTGCTTACTCCAGCTTTTTCCTTCTTGGATGGTGGAAACTCCTCCAGATGTCAGAAGCTTGTTGTGAATAAAACTGTAATAGGGGGTCATGCATCCAAATTGACGTGTATTTCTTCCTGGATTGAAAGTGACTACAGTCACCAGGATGGGAAAGCATCATGAAACCTTAACACCCAACTCATAAAAAAAGGGCCAGATTGGGTTTGGAGGATCGAATGTGTAAGTGGGGGTAGTTAGGTCATAGAAGCAAAAATCACCTTCCACTGACTACAGACAAGTCAGGGAAGCCGTACCTGATGTTAATGACCTTGTTTCAAACTAAAGTCACATGCAGTGTTTTCACCATATATTTTTCTTTTATTTCTTAGCTCACTGCTCCAAGTTTTGCCATTAGGTAAGTATTGCTCCCAGACCCTCCCTTATCTACTAATGGGTAATGCTTCTTTCACATGATCTCATGTTTCCACATCTCCAAGAACACAGAGGAAGGATGGGTGAGGATGAGGAACTCTGGGTTTCAGGGCTGGGAGTATGGCAGGAACAAATATAGTGGGGGAAAACCTGACAGGCACCTACCATCCTTGGAAGACAGCCCATTGCTTCGGAGCCCAGAGCCAAGCCAATATACCTGCTGGGGCTAGGGCGGCCAGGCAGCAGGCTTTCACTGTGGGTCCCACCTCTGCCCTAAGCAGGGAGCAGCTAAGAGCAGCCTCTGAAATACACCAATCCACTGTTTCTCAAAAGTAGGAATCCTTGCCCTATGGAGAAAATGTAGCTGTCCCTTTAAAAAGAAGTTTTAGGGGTGCCTGGATGGCTCAGTCGGTTAAGCCTCTGCCTTCAGTTTGGTCAGTGATCTTGGGGGCCCTGGGATCAACCGCCCCCCATTAAGCCCCGGGATCAAGCCCTGTGTTGGGCTCTCTGCTCAGCAGGGAGCCTGCTCCCCTGCCCCCTGCCTGCTTGTGACCTCTCTCTGTCAAATAAATAAATAAAATCTTTAAAAAATAAAAATAAAAATAAATTTTAGCTTAGTCATATACAACTGCACAAAGAAAATGAGCCTCAAGCTTAGAACAAGGGGTAGCGAAGTATTAACCACCAGACAGATTTGTATATGTATTTCTTAATGTTTGCGCTTTGCTTGATCCCTTCTGGGGACAAAAAAAACACTTTCTTGCCTGTTCCTTGTGCTTCAATAGCATGGGAACAAAGTCTTAAAAAACAGCATCTTACTTCCTAAATTATCCCTGACCTAGATTTCCCTGGTGGAGACTGGATACAGGAAAGTAGTGAAGCCTGTCACCATGAGAAGTTTGCGCTTTCTTCTACAGATAACCAGGGACATTGAAGGTGTGTCCCTGCGTTTTTCAACAGGTTTGTCAGGATCCCAGCAGCGATACTTTTCCACAGCTCCGCCAGATAGGAGTAATGGGAAGCTGGGAGACCATAAATATTAATCCCAGAGCCCTGATGAGAGATAAACCATAATCTTAAACATCTAGACCAATGTGGTCTAATAGATACGTAGTGAGCCACGTGTAATTTTTAATAATCCAGTAGCCATATTGAAGACAAAGGAAAAAGGGGCGCCTGGATGGCTAAGTTGGTTAAGTGTCTGATTTCAGCTCAGGTCATGATCTCAGGGTCTTGGGATCCAGTCCTACCACTGGCTCTCTGCTCACAGGGGACTGCTTCTCCCTCTCACTCTCCCTCTGTTCTCTTTCTCAAATAAATAAAATCTTTAAAAAAAAGGTGAAATTAATTTTAATAATATATTTCACCCAAAATATCTAAAACATCATTTCAACATGTAATAACAATTATTAATAAGTTATTTTACTAGATTGCTGTAAGTCTTAGAAATGCGGTGCATGGGGGTGCCTGGGTGGTTCAGTTGGGTAAGCCTGGGATTCTCGATGTCCACTGAGGTCATAATCTCCTGTGGTGAGATACAGCCCCGAACACCCACTGAAGATTCCCTCTCCCCCTCTTCCTCTGCATCACTGCCATCCCCCCCTCCCCGCACATGTACACGGTCTCTCTCTCAAAAAAAAAAAAAAAAAAAAAAAAAAAAAAAAAAAAAAAAGAGAGAGAGAGAGAGAGAGGGAGAGAAGGAACAGAAAAGAAATGCAGTGTATGGATAACTTAAGAACACATGCCAATTCCTTCGCTAAATTTTAAGCGCTCAAAGGGAAATGTGGGTCTGTTAATAAAGTTGTTGAACAGAAAAACATTCCACACTGCTTCCATTTTTCATGCAAATTACCTAAATTAAATACAATTTAAATTTCTGGATGTCAGGCATATGAGCCACATTTGAAGTTCAACAGGCACGGATAGCTACGGGCTACGTACCCCGCAGAGCACGTCTAGATCGCAGACAGGTTCACACCTTGCACCAGACCTTGCGGCCTGAGGCAGGCCTCCAAGCTCCAGGAGTGGGGCAACAGCGGGCCCTGCAATTCTGGACATGTTCACCAGGTGGCACTAAAGAGAACATCCTCACCAGCGAGGAGTGCCCAACCCCGGAAGCGAAATCCCAAGGTTGAGCGCGGTTCCTCCGGTTTTCTCCACCTCCGGATACACCCTTCACGACCTGGGGTCCAAAAGCTTGCAGCCGGGCAGGATGGGCGGGAGAACAGAGCGGCGGGGTGTGCAGGGCGAGTGAAGAGCTGTGAGCAGGCCCCGGTGGGCCACGCGGAGCCACGCAGGGCGGTGGGCGCGCAGACCCGGCGTCCGAGGGCGCGGACTGCAGAGCCCCAGCCTGCGAGCGCGTCGCCGGGCCGCTGCTGCCGCGTCGCCTTCTCCCGCGAGATCGCCGGCGCTGGGCCCGAGCTCCCACTAGCGCACCCAGAGCCCGGCCTCCTCTCCAATGTTTCAGAAGTCACGGCCGGCGCTGCTGCAGCCTCAGGATGTTGGAGACAAGGTGGAGACGCTTATGGTAAACTGCGGGGAAGGGACACGGGGTTCCGAAACCGCCGGCTCGTGGAGGGAAATTCGGGAGGTAGCCAAGGCTCGGCGGCTCTCTGGGAGCCTTTTCCGCTCCCTGGGTGTGCGCCGAACAGGTTAGGGACGTGCGGGAGAGGGATGGATTGAAAAGAGAAGGGCGAGGGAGGAGAGGAGTTGCAGCCCCCTTGGACAGACAGGCGACGGTCTGTCTGCTGCGTTGGCGTCCGGGTAGGGTGGCGGAATTGCCCAGGCCTTGGGAGTGTCGGGGAGCGTGCCGGTGCGACCATGAGCCGCGTGCGAGCGCCTCCGGATGTTGTTTTAAGTTGGATGCCTAGAGCGACAGAGGTGGAAGGACGCTTGGGCAGATGTCTGGACCACCGCAAGGCCCCGTAGTAGCCCCAGACCGGAGAAGAGGTGGGTGCCCGAGGGAGGTGAGTCGGGACCGCACTGGGCCCCCCGGGCGGGGAGAGAGGACTACTTCTAGGTCTCCACCTTCTAGCCTGCGAGGAATGGGGGGAGGGGCAGTGGGGGGGCGAGGCCACGCCCCTGAGTTCGGATTGGCTGCGACGGTCGTGCCGCCGGGTCTCCATTGGTGGAGACGGAGGCGGGGCTGGGCAGGCGGGTCCCGGAGGGCGGTCTGGCTGAGCGGCTTGGCGGTGGGTGGAGGCAGCAAACGCCCGACGTAGATCCCCGAGCGCTGCCAGGCGCCGCGGAGCGCAGCCACTCTGGTTCTCTCCGAGGTCCCTCTGCCAGCATGGGCGGCGCGGTGGATCGGGGTGTTTTTTTTAATCCTTCAAAAAGGCAGCGGCTGCGGCTCTACTTTCCATCTTTGAAAGCGTACTTACCTATTTCTCTTTCTGGGTCCTCCAGCTCTGGCCTGGAGACTTGGATTTAGTTTTCTCAAGGAAATTAAGAATTGCTTATGGAGGGGCTCCTGGGTGGCTCAGTCGTTAAGCGTCTGCCTTCGGCTCAGGTCATGATCCCAGGGTCCTGGGATCCTGGCCCGCATCGGGCTCTCTGCTCAGAGGGAAGCCTGCTCCTCCCACTCCCGCTCCCCCTGCTTGTGTTCCCTCTCTTGCTGTGTCTCTCTCTGTTAAACAAATCTTTAAAAAAAAAAAAATTGCTTGTGGAAATTACTATCTATTTCAGTACTATTTACTGCCTTTGTATACTGTGTATTATTCGGTTGTTTTTGCCCTCCTCCCTCAAAACAAATTGTTACTTATCTAATTTCGGGCTATTTAGAAAAAAATCAAACATGCCTACAAAGGATGTTCCATGTGACAACATCTTAAAACTTCAAAATGAAAAGTGTAAATTCTGTTTGTTTTTTTTAACGATATTACCTGCTGTGTGTCGGGTTTTCTTTTCTTTCTTTCTTGCTTTCTTGCTTTTTTAAGTAGTAGAGGTTAGTCTGTCCAGCTGGTATATATTTAGCATCTACTCTGTGCTCATCGACCAAGAAAATTACAAAATTACAAAAGTTACAGGCTCTAGGCATTTATTCAACAAATATTTATTAAACTAATAATATGTCCAAGCATTGCACTGTGAAAATAAAGACATAAAATAGTTCCTGCAATGAGGAAGGGTTGAATGTGTTGGAGCATGTGTGTGAAGGACCACACAGCCTTAAAACGAATTCCCTGCAATATCTGTGAGAGTGTTGGGGAAGCAGCACAGAGGACTGCACAGAAGCTGTAACTACAGGCCATGCCCACAACTTTACCAGAGCAGGAGCAAAGGGCTGAAGGGAGCCTGGGGAGATTACCCTGTTGTAGGTCTGGTCAATGGCCTCAAACCTGGGACGCAGGACACATTTCAAGAGTGCGGTGAGATCTTGAGGTGGTGTACATAGATGCCTTACCCAGTGCTGTTCCGGGAGCTCAGGAAGGTGGATTAGTAGGGTCGAGGCTGGAGGCTGCCAAGGAGGCTGCTGGAACAGATGGGTGTGGGCCGACTCTGGCAACACTGAGGGGTCATTGGTACGACTGGGTCATGAAGCAGTAGGTACAGTGATGAGTCTTATGTGTCTCCCAAACTTGCTTCTGGAATATCTTGTTGAGTGGGGTAGCAGCAGGAGTGTGAATTATTCACCGGGTTTCTATTTTGGAGTGTGAGTGGGAGCTTTCTGGGGGCCTCTCAGGGACAGGGGTGCTGGGCTGAACTGGCTATGGGTGTGGTACAGTGTGGTGCCCTGCACTGTGGATGAGATGGCCCTGAGGGGCTGTGGCTGGGGGAGATAAGAAGAAAAACATCTGAGGCTAAGAGAAAGGAGCAGACTCAAAAGGAGCCCAAAACCGAGAGGTGGCCAGCTGTTTGAAATGCACCGGACCAGCCAAGTAAGGGAAGGCCTAGGGCAGGAAAGGGCTCCTGGGATGGGCAGATCCTTGGGTGAGCAGAATGGGCAGCTTTAGCTGGATGGCAAGTGGTGGGGGCTGAGGGGTGACTAGCCCAGAGGGAGTAGAGGTGATGTGACATCAGACTGGAAAGACAGGGGCTTTGAAGCTAGCTTCCAGAAGATGCCAGTGGAAGGATGAGACCAAGAAGCACAGACTCCAGGAGTATGGCTTAGCATATCCCCACTCTCCCAACCCCCTTGGGGGACTAGGAATGGCATGCTGACAGACTGGCAAGGTAGATACATTTTGCTTGGTTGTATGTTTTGTTTTATCACTTTTGTCACCCCTAGGTACTTTATAAGCCATTTGAACAGAGTTAGGATCTCCAATTTTTATTATGTGAATTTTTTTAGTCTTTCAAGTGGTTCCAGTTGTCATTTGAAACTTGCTCATTTGGTAGAAATGTGGAGTGATCTCTCTTCCCTGTGAAACAAAAAAACCACAAGTTACATTTTAGCTCTGGGTTGGTGGCTGTACGGGTATAACTGGCAACTTCATTTTCAGTGCCTTAAGACAACAGTTGTCGTGCATTCACAAATAATAGTGCGAGTGCCATTTAATGAGGAGAGAAGATCTTTTTGGATGGCGTTTGCCAAGTCTCTTGTTTGGAGAAGAGTGCTTTCATTTCCTGGTTGGATTTTTAAACGTGGCTTTTCACAACCGTTCATGATCGAGTGTTTCTGAGGCTAGCCGTGAGGCCTCTAGCCTAGTGGGTTCAAGGAGGTACATTTAGGCTTTGCCCTTCTGGGTGGTGCCACTAGATTAGCCAGGGTGTCCTTCCTGTCCAGGCAACTGTCCTGGTTTAAGGGAGAGCCAGCGGACCCAGGGGTAAGAGGTGGCTGCTGGTCTACTCACATCTGCAGTCTGCTTAGGTCCTAGTGAGATGTGTGGGTAGAATAGAAAGGGAAAGCTTTTAAATTAAGGAATTTCATAGATTTTACAGGAAGTGGTCCATGTTTTACATTGAAACTGAGCTTATGGTTTCACTTCCTATGTCTCCCTCCTGTAAATACCTACAGGTCCTATAACCAAGAGAGTTTGGCAGCCAACAGTTCACACACTAGGTTCAGTCGATTTTGCTTCTGTGAAGATAAGAGATGGCCAAAAACTTTTACCCTCAGGACAGAGAGGGAGGTGTGGTTGGCGGCCTAATTCACAGGTAGACGGAGGTGGATTGCTCATTCTTAGTACTGAGGCCAGAGAGATCCCCTCTAGCCGGGTATTATGTTCTCCATGGCATTCCAGCGCTGTTAATTCCCAGGTTCACTTTAACCTTCTCTGAAGTGGGAAGATAATACAGGGCACCAGCTGGTGGTTTTCTAAGCCACCCACATAGAGGAAAAAAAATGGTCCCAGTGTGGAGAAAGCTGAGAAAACTTGGCGGCCACAAAGTTGCTGACTCAGTGTTCTCTTGCCCTGAAGTTACATCCGGTGATCAAGGCTTTCCTGTGTGGCTCCATCAGTGGGACCTGCTCCACCCTCCTTTTCCAACCGCTGGATCTCCTCAAAACGCGCCTACAGACTCTCCAGCCCTCAGACCATGGGTAAGGCCTGCTGCGTGCCCCCCTCACCATTTCTCTGAGGAATGGTTCCAACAACTCCTCTCAGACACAGGAACATCTCAACTGTTAAGTCAACTGCCATTGTGTTGGATGCTTCAGGAGAAACATGGGCCATGCCCAACTTTGATTTGACATTTCCTGTTAATGAAATGGGGTCCTTCCCTGGGGGCACCATCCTGCCATCTTCCTCGGTGACATTTGCATTTTATTGTGCTAGCCTGTGATGTTGTAACTGTACTGTCCGGTTCGAGTAGCGTGGGTGGTTTTCTGGAAATAATGTATGCATTAAGTGTCTCTTCTGTGCCTGACATTGGGCTCAGCACTGTGGGAAGTATACCAAATGCGTGTAACATGGGAGGTCATCCCGTTGCTTGCGGTGTGAATCAACAGATAAACACGTATGTGCCAAATCATGAACATATGGGAACTCAGAGTTATTCCAAGATGTGTTGTAGAGATTCTTGAGTGCTCTTAGGGAAGAAGTCATACCAAGAAGTCTTTGGATGGGAAGTTCTTTTATGAGGACGAGGCCCAAGTTATTTTTTTTTTTCTTCCCTGCCTCCATTTTGTCTCCCTTTAGATCTGGTCGTGTTGGGATGCTGGCTCTGCTCTTGAAGGTGGTTCGCACGGAGAGTATTCTGGGCCTTTGGAAAGGGATGTCCCCTGTAAGCTGCCTTTTGGGTCTTCTCTTGCACCCTCTGCTGTTATAGCTATCTCTTTGTCATGCACCTTCCATATCCCCTCTTGGAAGGATAGGTCAGCGCCAGAAGCAGTGGGAGGACTTGTGTGGTCTTTTCCCTGTCACATGATGCTACTCGCTCCTATCAGAGGGCTGGGGAAATATCTTTATGCCCTAGATACAGCTTGTTGGAGCAGTAGCAGGTCTAGAGTAGATGCAGTGAGTGCCCTCAGCTGCCAGCATACCCTGTCCTTGCCCTTCATACAAGCAGGCCACATCTGCGTTTCTTTACCTGCAGGTAAATTTGCTGGGAGTGCCAGGGCACAAATGCGCACTCCAGCCCAGTGGAAGATGATAGTTGATGTTTAAAAACCTCACTCACCCTCCTCAACTGGAGGGCGAACTCTGAGGTGCCTACACCGATTCCCAGAGTTCCCCTCAAAGAGATTACGTTTACCAGGGCAGTAATGCATCAGGCAGCCTGCCCTTCATTGGCTGCCTTCTCTCCTCACTTCCCCATTCTCTTATTGCTGTTCCCTACATACCTTCAATCAACTACTTGCATGCAAATCTCTGTCTTTTGGGAAAACCCAGCTAAGACAGTATCTCACAGTGTCCATCTGGGCTTGCTTTCCTCCCTCTGCCCTGTTGCACAGTCCATTGTGAGGTGTGTCCCTGGCGTTGGCATCTACTTTGGCACTCTCTACTCCTTGAAGCAGTACTTCCTGCGAGGCCATCCCCCCACAGCGCTGGAGTCGGTCATCCTGGGAGTGGGCTCTCGCTCGGTTGCAGGACTCTGCATGTCACCCATCACTGTGGTGAAGACACGTTACGAGGTGAGTCCAACTGCTTTCAGCCTTCGGGGTGGATAAACAGAGGCATTGGGCTTTCGTCAAGTGGTCACCGATGTCAGCTCCAGATTTGGAATCTAAAATCGAGGCCGCTGTGGTCAGAGAATAAAAGCCTGGCGTTGTCATGTACCCCGAAGTCAGGTGGGTTCGTTGCTCAAACCCAGGGCTGCCGCGCCAGCCACTGGTCCTGTGCTTCCTTGCAGAGTGGGAAGTATGGCTATGAGAGCATCTATGCAGCCCTGAGGAGCATCTATCGCACTGAGGGGCACCGGGGACTCTTCAGCGGCTTGACGGCAACACTCCTTCGTGACGCACCCTTTTCTGGAATCTACCTGATGTTCTACAACCAGACCAAAAACATCATGACCCATGGTATGGACGAAGGAAGGTGTGGTGGGGGAGGGGAGAGATATCTCCGAGACCTCATATCCTCGCAGCTTTCTCTGCGATAGGAGAATGTTTATTGTTCTTAGCAGAGTTTTAGGAACAGAGCCATTTCTGCCTCACGTCAAGCATGGGGCCAGGTGCTAGGACCCAGTGGTGGTCATGAAAGACTTGGCCCCCTGCCCGTATGAATTTATGGACTATTACGGCAGTATACTGGTAGTACTGTCGTTCTTGAGTGGGTGGGGGGGATAAAGCATGTTTTACAGAAATCCTGCAGTGATACCTGGCAGATTTGCCCTATCTTTAGATTGCTGGGCCCTGCATGAGGGCCTCCTACATCAGGAACTTTGGGGTAAGACCTGGGAGTCGGTATTTCTCAAGAAGCACGTGATCTGATTCTTATCAGAAAAGTTTGGTGAGGTTAGTGGGGTTAGCGCCTCCCCTTGCCGTGTTCCCAGGTAAAGTGGTTCTGAGCCCTCTGTTCCGGTGGAGAGCAAGGTGCCCTACCTCAGGCATTTTGGCAGACCCACGCTGCCAGGAAGCTCTTGTTGGTCACAACGGGCACACTCGGTATGCTGTGAGCATACACCCAAGCACAGCCAGGTTCTGATAGAAGCACGTCCTGTGGAATGAACCTGCATTCCATACGGTGTCTCCAGAGAACTTGAGCAGGGAAATGCAACCCAGGTCTGTAAAGTGGGAAAACCGGCATGCCCCCATCATGACAATGGTAATCAGTGGAGTTGGAGTGCTTTAGGAGTTCGCTTCTCTCCTGTAGGCACCAGGAGGCGTGACACTGCAGGTCACAGCCTTATGTGGCTCAGAAAGTTAGGGCAGTAAGGGAGCTTGGTGTACATTTTTTACTTCTCTTTATGTATAATTGTTTTTTGCAATCCATTTACAATTGCAAAGGTTGAGATTAGGCAAAAGTTAAGATTAAGGTTGCAGGAGTGATGCCCCTTTACCCTTAAATACCTCCATTTGTGTTTCCTAAGAACAAAGATATTCTCATATAACCTGTCTCTTTTATCTCTCGGACAAGATGGCGGTCTCCACTGAAAACTCATTTTTTCTTTTGTAATTTGGAAGCATCTGTGGGCACTGGAGGGGGTGGGGGGGAGATACTTTGAATCTGCATAAATCTACATAAAACATTCTGTTCCTTTCACCCCAATGTTTGAGCCTCAGTCTGTGATTCTTGCCCAAATCAATTATGGCGGCGATGGTTGTAAAAAAAGGCAAATTTGAATTCCATGACTCCCATCTACATTTAGTTATACCTTTAAATGTTTACTTCTTAACCCCATTTTGAATCTAGACCCTTCTGAATTTGGGGAAGAATTCATGGGCAACTTAGTATTGATATTTATGTGAGAGTCATTTGTAACTGAATGTTGCTTTTGTCATGTTTCAGACCAGTTGGATGGAGTCCTTATTCCCGCTGTAAATTTCAGCTGTGGGATCTTTGCTGGCATTCTGGCCTCCCTGGTGACTCAGCCTGCGGATGTTATCAAAACCCACATGCAGCTCTCCCCAGTGAAATTTCGGTGGATTGGCCAGGCAGTGACACTCATTTTTAAAGTAAGGCTTACAGAGTAAATATTGCCTCTTACTGTGGTTAAGGCTTGCTCTCTCTCTCTCTCTCTAGAAAGGAAGCCGGTGTCCTTTACATATTAAAATCAGCTGGGGTGCTTTAAAAAGTCCCCACCCCCAGGTCACAACCTGGGCTGCTTCCATCTGAATCTCTGAAGGTGGGTGAAGCCCAGCAATCTGCCAACTTTAACTATTATCACAGGTCGTCCTAAGGTAGTCAGTTTCCCCCACCCACCACCAACCCCCACCCCCAAAACAAAAAATTCCGGAGTGTTGCAAAGGTTGAGAATCACTGCTAAAAACCTAGGTTGGCTGTGGGTTGGCTAAGCAGATTGCTGGACTCCACCCCCGCCCACCAGGTCAGGGAATCTGGGAGGGCCTCATCCCCTGATGATCAAGGACCTAGGAGAGAACTCAAGTCAGAAAAAGATGACAGGGACACCTGGGTGGCTCAGTCGTTGGGCATCTGCCTTGAGTTCAGGTCATGATTCCAGGGTCCTGGGATCGAGCCCCGCATGGGGCTCCTTGCTCAGCAGGAAGCCTGCTTCTCCCTCTTCCACTCCCCCTGTTTGTGTTCCCTCTCTCACTGTGTCTCTCTCCATCAAATAAATAAATACAATCTTAAAAAAAAAAAAAACACACAAAGAAAGAAATGACAAATACATCATTTGGTCTCTAGAAATTTGCTCTAACACAAATGGACAAAAGGTATTGTTGAAGATAAAAAGTACAGGAGACATAAGGTACACTTGCTGAAGCACCATTTAAAAGCCACAGAGTTGGTCCTTTGGCAGCATGTACTGTTCCCACACACCAGATATTCTTGCTCAAGCTAAGTTTTTATATTTTTCTGTACGTCTCGGTTTTTCTGTGCAGCAGAGGAAACAATGCGAGCATAGGCATCCTGTATCTGTCTCGCCCTAGATGTAGACAAATATTTGTCAATCGGATCATATTCCTCACCCTGCTTGGGTTGCCTGCTCTCTTATTCTCTATACCTAAAAGCCTAAACTTTGAGAATAATATTCTTCAGTATGTATAAAATGGCAGGAATGATAATGATAGAAATGAATCCGCCCAGATTATGAGGAGGAGGTGTTTCGTCTTTAATGCTTATGTAGGAATGTCAAGAGCATACAGTGAGTTATGCAAAAATGCTCCCTCCAGACAGACAGATTGCCAAAAAGACATGTTTTCCTCCAGCCTGAAGCCATGCCCCAGGGCTTGGCATGCAGACCATGGCCTGGATCTCACTTGCTAGTTGGGGCTTGGTGCGTATGGGAGCTGCACAAGCTATCCAGCTGTATACAGCCACCCTGTGTAAAGATTTGCAGCTGAGAAATAAATTCTCCTGCATAAAGCAAGCGTAAAAAGAGAAAGTTTAGCAAAAATTATGCAAAAAAAAAATTTTTTTTTAGTTCATCGTCTCCTTGGATCCATTATTCATAGTTTTGGCATTATCAATGAAAATCCTAAAACTGAGGCTCACCAATGAGGTAACAGAGACCCTCAGTCTCACACTAGGTGTGTTCCTCATGTTGCTACTCTGCTTCCGGAATGCTGACGTTCGTTTTCCTCATAGGATTATGGGCTCCGTGGCTTCTTCCAAGGCGGCGTCCCGAGGGCCCTCCGCAGAGCTCTGATGGCAGCGATGGCGTGGACCGTGTATGAGGAGATGATGGCCAAGATGGGCCTGAAGTCCTGACCGAGAGGGACTGGGTAAAGACGGGCTATGTTGCCCTCCCTGGCTCTTACCGGGGCTGCTTCGTCTCACTGCCCTGGAGTAAGATGAAGTCTAATCTGGAAAGCCAGGCAGATGTGTCCCCTTCTGTTACCCAGTTTCAGTAGAAAATCGGTGGGCCTGACTCAAGCCTTCAGAATATCCCAGAAGAGGAGTTACTGATGCCTACAGCACACTGGGGAGTTCATAGAAGGGCTTGCCCCTGCTGCCAGGTTACTCGAAAAGGCCTTTCTGGAAAGAGCTCTGTCCGGTGGCTCTGCTTCAGCCACCCAACCTATGCCACGCTGCCTGTTTAGATCTGTTCTTGGGCAAGGCACTGCACGGCCAGAGGAGCTATGACTGTGAAGAGTTCCAGCAGTGGGGAAGCCGGGTCTGTGGAGAGAGGGGTTCTTGTCATCAGGCTTTTGTCTGTGTCTGGAATGCTGGTGGGATGAGGAAGAAAAGATGTCATTACTTAATTGGTCACTAATCACCTTCTCAGAGGCTCTGAAGAAGTGGGGAGAGTGGCTTCTTAGCCTGAAGTGTCCAGATAACGAATTTTGGTCTTGGCCTCTGCACTGTTTCAATTCTAAATTGTTCTGGCATTTTTCTGCAGCTAACGTTCGCATAAATAAAGTGAAGCACTTTATCATTGGAAACTGTTTGGAAAACCTAAATAGTGTCCTTCCTGTGTTCTAAAATAACCCAGTTGTCTGAGGTGGCTGGCTCTTGACCCATATAAGTCCTAAACTCTAAACATTTATTTTATTTTGTTATGTATTTATTTATTTTTTTTAAAGATTTTATTTATTTTTTTGACAGGCAGAGACACAGCGAGAGAGAGCATAAGCAGGGGGAGTGGGAGAGGGAGAAGCATGCTGCCTGCTGAGCAGGGAGCCCGATGTGAGGCTCATCCTAGGACCTTGGGATCATGACCTGAGCTAAAGGCAGATGCTTAATGACTGAGCCACCCAGGTGCCCCTAAACATTTTTTCAGACAGCTTTTATTTCACACATTGTACAATTCACTCATTTCAAATAAGCCATTCAGTGATTTTTAGTAACTTACTGGGTGAGGCAACCATCACTATGAACCAGTTTTAGGGCACATTAATCCCCCAAGAAGATCTCAGATTTACAATTAATCCTCATTCTGAGTCCCAACTCTCGGCGACCATCGATCTGCTTTCTGTCTATAATCTGCCTTTACTGTACACTTCATGTAGTCATACAATTTGTAGCCTCTTGTATTCTTTCACTTAGCATAATGTTTCTGAGGTTTCTCCACATGGCATGTTCAACACCAATTTTTTTTTTGTTTATGGCCAAATAATACTGTGTGCCCATATGAGATTTTATTTATCCATTCATCAGTTGATGATTATTTGAATGGTTTCCACTCGGGGGCTCTTATGAATAATGCCACTTTGAATGTTCATGTGCTGGTGTTTGTGTGGACATATGTTTTCATTTCTCTTGCATAAATAGATGCCCAGGAGTGGAGCTACCAGATCACATGGTAACTTTCGAACCATTTGAGAAACTATCAGACTCTGTACCATTCTACATTCCTACACCCACAGTGCAGAAGGGTTCAGGTTTCCCCACATCTTCTTCAACACTTGTTATTGTTTTATTATACCCACATTCGGGGGTTCCCAGGTGTTTCTGTCAACTTTCAAACTTAGGAAAGAGCCATTACATTATCCAAACAGCAGGAAGGGGAATTTTGGTCTCCGGGTTAAGAATATGGGCTGTGATCTAGGTGGTTCTAGATGGAAAGCCTGGTTCTCTACTTATTTAGACATAGTTGCAATTGTTTCTGGAAAGTGGGCATACTAATGGTGAGGGTAAAAGGAGCAGATGTTTCTGGCACCCTGACTTAGTTTCCTAGGGCTGCCACAACAAATTCCCACAAATTAGGTAGCTTCTAGCAGAAATGTATTCTCTGTTCTGGAGTCTATGGGTCTCCATAACACTAATCAAAGTGTTAGCAGGGACGTATGTTCTCTGAAGGCTATAGGGGAGGATAGCTCTGGTCTCTCCAGGATTCTGGTGGTTGCTGGCAATTCTTGGCACTCATCATTCCAACCTGGCTCTGTCTCCACAAAGCCACCTGTGTGTCTGTCTCTGTGTCCAAATTTCAAGGACATCGGTAATTGGATTACAGCCCACCCTCCTCTAGAATGTCTTAACCTGATTTCATCTACAAAGATGTACCCTATTTCCAAATAAGGTCACATTCTTAGGCACTAAGGTGGGGGGGTTAGGACTCCCAGCATACTCTTTGGGAGCACACACACTAAGTTTAATTATAAGTTTAAGTTTACACTTTAGGGTTTAGGTTAAAGTGTCCTATTCAAAATAGAGCAGTATAGGAGAGGACAGATAGGATCCTAAGCACAGAATCCCTCTGGGCCTTGATGATCTGTGTGTGTGAGGCCCTGTGCCAAGGAAAGGAGATCAGATAAGACTGGAAATGTGTTCTGGGACAGGAATGGAGGGAAGGCCAGTCACCATGGTTGTAGTAGCTGCCTCCTAAGAACTGGGTCCTTGGCAGGTTGGGGCAGAGAGGAGACCCAGAGGTATAGAATTCACTCCAGTTTGCTCACCTTATACTTGACCGGTGAATTTCAGTCACAAGGGTCACCTATTATGTTCATTATGATGCGGTTTTAGAATACAGGTATGGTTCAGTGGAGTAGGGTCCTGAGCCGATGACCAAGAAAGAATTCTTGAGATGTCTTTGGTGCAAAATGGGGTTATTAAAGCATGGGGACAGGACCTATGGGCAGAAAGAGCTGCTGCCCTGGGATACAAGGGGTGGCAGGTTATATACTATGGGGTTGGGGGAGGTAAGGAAAAGGGAGGTCTCAAAAGGATTTTCATATATTAAAGTAGACTCACAGCATACTAGAGGCCTTGCCATTGTCAAGGTTGTTTTTCCTTCTAACCTGGCATTAACACAGATAGTTGGGAGCTCTCTGGACTCTTCCTATTTGAAGTATCTGTCAATGGGCTACAGGTTATAAGGACATTTAATTTTATCTACATTTCCTTCTGGAAGATAGGTTATTGATAGAAATGCTATCTTATAAAATGCTAAGACATTTGTAAACCGAGGGAGACTCATGTCTTGCAGGGTATAAGTTAACTATTTGTTTTTCCTTTCCTCAGCTTTAGGGTAGCCAGGAGTGCCTGAGAAATGTAACGTAAATCCCATCTGGGGGAGAGGGAAGTTGTGGGGTGTCAGCTTCTGCTGCTTCCTCAGCCTGCCTTCTCTAACCTCATCAATTAGAATGTTCTTTTGGGGCAAAAAAATAAAAAAAAAAAAAAAGATTTGGAGAAACAGCCTCATTTCCTCTACATGTGGAGTAAAACTGGAATTTGCCCTTTTTAACCCTGATTCCAAAGGCAAGTGGCCCTGGATATCTCCATATCCCAGGCCCCAAGAATTTATTTTTCCTCTTCTGTAGTCTGTCACAGCTATTAAAGTTTGTGAGTTTCAGCTGGCTGGAAACAGTGCCCAGTGCCTTTAAAAAACTGATTTGTTCTTGGCTGCCTCAGACTTAAGGCAAATTATTTAGAGCAGAGCTTTGTGGAAGGAAATGCTCATCTGACCACTACAGATAAGGCCTGGTAAGGCATGGGCCAGAAAAGGACAGAAGCAAAGCTTTCAAGCTCTTGTTACATTCAATTTCCAGAAATATATTACAAAATATTTCAGTCACAAAGAGTAGAACAAATGGTACCTTGTCCCTTTATTCCCATCACCGAGAGGATTATCAGGATCTTGCTCCCCTTTGTCTTCCTACTCTCCCCTTTACAAAGTCTTTAAAAAAGCAGATTCCAGGGGCGCCTGGATGGCTCAGTGGGTTAAAGCCTCTCTGCCTTTGGCTCAGGTCATGATCCCAGGGTCCTGGGATCGAGCCCCGCGTCAGGCTCTCTGCTCCTCAGGGAGCCTGCTTCCTCCTCTCTCTCTGCCTGCCTCTCTGCCTACTTCTGATCTCTCTCTGTGTCAAATAAATAAAGTCTTTAAAAAAAAAAAAAGCCTCAGCCTTCAGCTCAGGTTATGATCTCAGGGTCCTGGGATCGAGCCCTGCATCTAGCTTTCTGCTTAGCAGGGAGCCTGCTTCTCTCTCTCTGCCTGCCTCTCTGCCTACTTGTGATCTCTGTCAAATAAATAAATAAAATATTCAAAAAAAAAAAAGCAGATTCCAGACACAGATATCACACCATTTCACCCTTCCATAATTCATCTCTAAAAATAATGAACATTTTTCTTACGTAACTACATTATTATCCCACCCAGAAAACGTTAACAAATCTGTTGCATATCATCCAATACCCAGCCCATATTCACGTTTCAAAATGTCTCAAAATGGATTTTTTTAGGGGAGCCTGGCTGGCTCCGTCTGTGGAGCAAACCCGCTAGATCTTAGGGTTGTGAGTTGGAGCCCCACATTCAGTGTAGATGTAAGGGATACAAAGGCAGAAGGAACTGTAGATAAGATTAAGTGTCCTTGGGGCACCTGGGTGGCTTAGTGGGTTAAGCCTCTGCCTTTGGCTCAGGTCATGATCCCAAGGTCCTGGGATCAAGCCTGGAATGGGGCTCTCTGCTCTGCACGGAACCTGCTTCCCCCCCACCCCCACTACCTACTTGTGATCTCTGTAAAATAAATAAATAAAATAATAAAAAAAATAAGTGTCCTTATAAGCTGCAGCCCATTGACAGATACTTCAGGCAGGCAGAGTATAAAGTTCCTCCAGGAAGCGCCCACCTCTTAATGTCCATGCCTTGCTAGATGAAAAGCAACCTTAGTTTGACAATAGCAAGGTCTCAGGTTTCCAGTGATTCTTCTTTAGCATATGAAAATCCTTTTGGAACTCCCCGGAGCTCGATCTCCCTCAGCCTCAAAGTAGGTCATCAGTTGCTGTTCACAATCCTGGGGCAGCAGCAGCCCTAGTACTTTATGTACTTTCTGCCCCTGAGTCCATCCTCATGCTTTAATAAAATCACCTTTTTGCACCAAAGACGTCTCAAGAATTCTTTCCTGGCCCTTGACTCTGGACCTCACCAGTATTCCAAAACTACATTATAGAGATTATTTAAAAATAAAATTTATTAAAAATAAAATCCTAGAGGTGGCTCACTTGCTTAAACCTCTGACCCTTGGTTTGGGCTCAGGTCATGATCTCAGGGCTGTGGGATGAAAACCACGGGCTCCTGCGCAGCCGGGAGTCTGAAGAGTCTCTTCTGCCCCTCCCCCAACCTGTGTGGGCAGACTCACTCTCATATATTTTTTAAAAAATTAAATCTT